ATAGAAATCTGCTTCCTAAAACAAATCTTTAGTGTCAGTCCTTCTGTTGTTGCTTCTGATTGATCAGTGTCTGTAAAGATGGACAGACTCAAGCTAAAGCTATCTTAGTAGGCCATAATAATATTGCAAATTATAAGGTGGGGGTTTTTATCGAACAATTAAAAACACTAACATTGTATTTATCAACGACATCTTGGTCTACTCACAAGACAAGGAGGAACACGAGAAACACATCCGCACAACCTTACAAACCCTGACGGAAAATCAGCTATATGCCAAACTCCCAAAATGCGAATTTTGGAAGGACAGTGTGTCATTCTTAGACCATGTGATAACCAAGGAGGGAATCAGGGTAGATCCGACCAAGATCCGCGCAGTCAATGAATGTCCCACACCAAAGGCAGTTCCAGAGGTTAGGAGCTTTCTTGGGTTGGCCGGTTACTATCGAAGATTTGTACCCGATTTCACCAAAATAGCCCAACCCTTGACGAGGCTCATGATGAAGGAAATTCCCTTTCAATGAGATGTCAATTGTGCTTCGGCCTTTCAGGAACTGAAAGAGAGGCTAACCACAGCCCCAGTATTAGCGCTACCCTCAAGAATAAAAGGATTCGAAGTTTTCAACGACGCTTCTAAATAGGGACTGGGATGCGTGCTAATGCAAAACGGCAAGGTAATAGCATACGCATCCAGGCAACTCAAGACTCACGAGGAAAACTACCCCACACACAATCTGGAACTAGCTACCATTGTGTTCGCTCTAAAAATCTTGAGGCATTATCTATATGGGGCACAATGCAAGATCTACACAGACCATAAAAGCTTGAAATATATCTTCACTCAAAAGGATCTGGATATGCGACAGCCGCGATGGTTAGAACTCATAAAATACTATGACATGGATATCCAATACCACGAAGAAAGGGCTAACATTGTGGCAGACGCACTAAGTCGAAAAATAAGCCACTCCATCAACACCACGTGGGTACTGTCAGGCGAGCTATGTAGAGAATTCCAGAAGTTAAATATGGAAATAGTGGAGCAAGGACAAACAGATTCCGAAATCCAACTATTTAATCTCAGTATCATACCCACACTGTTCGAAGAAATCAAAGCCGGACAGCAACAAGATCCTGAGCTGGGGAAGATCCATCTCGGCATGGCCAAAGGAAAGGATGAGCCGTTCAAACTATATGATGACAGCAGCATCCACTACAAGGGAAGATGGTGCGTACCTACAACACACCCCCACTTGAAGAGACAAATCCTAGAAGAGGGGCACGGTACACCTTACTCAGTGCACCCCGGAGGTGATAAATTATACCAAGATGTGAAGAAGTTATTTTGGTGGCCCAACATGAAGAAGGAAGTAGCAGACTTTGTGAGCAGATGCTTGAACTGCCAAAAAGTGAAAGCCGAACGATGCAAACCCAAGGGACTCGTACAGCCCCTCGAGATACCCCACGGGAAGTGGGATTCTATCTCGATGGACTTCGTAGGAGGTTTACCCACAACACCAATAGGAAAAGACAAAATCTGGGTGATAGTGGATCGGCTAACTAAGACAGCGCGGTTTATTGCCATAAAAGAGACTTGGACAGTGACATGACTAGCCAAAGCCTACATAAGTCAAGTAGTCAAATATCACGAGGTTCCGCAAAATATTATTTCTGAAAGGGATCCCAGGTTTCTCGCGCAATTCTGGAGGGCATTACAATCGGCCCTGGGGACAAGACTAAAATTGAGCACCGCCTTCCACCCCACTACCGACGGTCAGACTGAGAGCTTGTATGTTAGACTTCCAAGGAACATGGGAGGAACATCTAGATCTGATCGAATTCTCCTACAACAATAGTTATCACGCAAGCATCTGCATGGCACTCTACGAAGCACTATACGGCCAGAAATGTAGGACCCCCATATGTTGGGAGGACATGGTCAATCCAGTGACCCTGAGACCCCAGTATCTACAAGACACCATAACAAAGGTCAAGCACATATGATAAGTGCGTTTTTGTCTATATTTTTTACCCCTTCTTGAACCCATTTTATTTGTGAATTGCTTAAAAACTTGTGTGAATTGTGACTAAGTTATGTTGGTTTTATTTCAAGGTGCAATCATTCACAACAAGTGAGAAATTCAATGATTTTTGGAAGATACGAGCAATTTTTGGATCAAGAGATCAATCAAAGAGTTTGGAATGCATTTAGGAATTTTCAGCAGCCTCGTACCCCCTCCCGTACGCCCATCCATCAGCCCATCCGAGATTTGAAAAACGAAGCAGGTGGCGCACGCCCTGTCGTACGCTCATCCCACAGGGCGTACGATATTTCTGCCCAAAACCCAGTGTTCACTGGAAATGCACCAAAAATGGTATGCCCTGGCGTATGCCCATCCCTGAGGCCATCCCACTGTGCTCTGCTCTATTTATGCGCGTTTTTGGGTCATTTCAACTCGGTTTTGACCCATGGTTGAGCCCTAGCTTCTCTCTTTCACTCCCTTTCATATTGTAGTGTTAGATTAGGTTTAGATTTAGGTTTCTTAACATTTTTCAAGCTTGTAATCAAGGATTCAACACTTGGATTCCAAGATTTACTATCCATTTCTTAGTAAAGTTTTCTTCTCCCTTTTATCTCTTCATCTTGCAATGTTTATGCTTTACATTTATGTTTTTTGTGTTCTTTATGCTATTGAATCATGATTAGTTAGTTTATGGACTTGAGTTAGGGTTGTATTATCTTTCTTGATGCTTGATTTGTAATTATTGCAAAAAGGGGAAGAACACTAACCTAGGGTTCTTGAGTTTATGAAGGTTTTGTGTTTGTATTTTGTTAATGCTTGGTGTACAACATTCATTAACATGTTTGGGAGGATTCTTGGCCTCAATGAGAGTTGGGTAAAGATTCCAAGCCACTCCTTGCATAAACCCAATCTCTTCCTATGAAAATAGGGGAAATTGGGGGTTATTGGTGCTTTGTGTGCTTGAAGAACTTGGAGTTGATTCACCACGAGAGTGGGACAATTCCTTGTTCTAATCCTTGTTAATTTGCTCACGTGAGTGACTTATAGACTAGGGTTCCTACGTGCATCCCCTCTATTTCTCGGTAGTGTGATTTTCCCCAATCTTTAGGGTGTGCTATGCATCTAGAAGATAATGTTCCCTAGCTTGAGTCCCATTTTATTATTCCATGTTTATATCTTATTAATATGTGTTTGGTTACTTTGTTTAGTTACCGTAACCTTGAAACTTGTTGTTATTTGCTTAGCTTCTTGTTGATTTCCTTATGTTAGTGCCTAGTTGCTTGTGATTGCGTATTGCGTGCCATAAATCCCAATCCCCTGAGGACGACATAAAACACCCGAGCTCACATCTTATTTTTGCTACATCAAAAATTGGCGCCGTTGCCGGGGATGGGAAATTTGGTGGTTCTATGTGATTACTTGTTTTACTAGCATTAGAGTTTAGGGAATCTTAGGAGACTAAGTTTTTTCTTTCTTTTTGTTTCTTTTTATTGTTCAAGAGCTAATTGTTTACCTTGTTTGAGTTTCGGTTGAAAGATCCATAGTTTGTTCATACACTCTAGATTCAAAAGGAGGAGCTTTTACCACTCAATCAAGAACTTTCACCATGGATGAGTATGCATTCCAAGGAGGATATTATGATTCTCAATCTTATGGGGTTAACCAACATGATGGATATGGAGATCCTTGCACCACTCAACCCCCACCTCCTAACCATTACTATGATGCTCAATCTCAATATTTTTGTCCACCACAATTTCACCCCCAAAACTCATACTCTCAATACACTCCAAACTTCCAAAATCCTTACCCACCACAATCCTACCAAGACTTTCCTTGTCATTCCCAACCTCCATACCATAATCTCTATCCTCAACAATACCAAGATCCCCAATATGCTTTTAATGATCAATACCCTCAATGTTCACAAGACTACAATCCACCTCAACATCCTTTCCCACCACAAGATTACTCTCCAAATCCATATCCATCACCCATTCATTACACTCCACACCCCCAAGACACTCAACCTCCATATGATCATCACACTCATTCACCAAGTGTTGGGAGGTATGTAGTAGATGGGGAGACATTGGCATTGGCTAGGCGTTAGGGAGTCACTATTGTACCCGATGATGACATTGAGGATGAGGGCTATCCAATGCAACCAAGTGAGGATGAATATGCCAATAATCAATGGGAACCTCAAGAACCACTCTATCATCAACCTCAACAAGAATTCAACCCATTTGATCAAGATCCGGAGATGAAGATTATGATGGCCAACATGCTTAAGCAAATGAATGAGCAACAAGTTCTACTAGACAACATGATGGCTCGAATACAAGGTTTGACAACTCAAGAACCCGTTCAAGAATTGTCTTCCAATGTAGATGTTCTACAAGAGTTGCTCTTGCCAAATGAAGGATATGTGGTTGAAGAAAATAAAAAGCAAGGTGAGGACATTGATGGTGAAGATGAAGATGATGAGGGCTATGATGAATGCATTGAGATGGAGACACCAAGTTGGGGAGAAAGTGTAGAGTTGCAAGATAATGGTGATAAGGAGCAACTTGAGAATGAGTCAATGGAAGAAATGCTAAAGAATGATGAAGTTGATGGAATGTGTGGCACAAACAAGGAATGCCCTCTATTGGATGACACTCTCTTGGACGAGAACTTTAGAATAACTTGGGAACCGGGAGGTGTCAATGTTTATGAAAGTGGAGGTCCTCATTGGCCTATATTCATATCCAAGGATTCTTACTTCCTATTGGTGCATGACGAAGACCCAAGGTTTCCATTACTTGCTCAAGAAAAGGGAAATCAAGAGGAGAATGAGAATGGAGACTTTGGGATTGGTCAATCTCATCTCTACTACCAAGAAGCAATGTTTAGGAAGAAATCCTTGTTTGACTTATGGATTAAAAATGGCTTTGAGGAAGGGATATGTTTGAAGTTTGATTTTGATGAGCATAGTTTCTTTAACTTTGAAGTGGTGAAGATGAGCTTAAGAGAATTTATTGATGGCTACCACTTGAAGTGCTTTTTGGAAGAAAAGGTCGATGTAAAGAATGAGATCTTCATTCTCAATTCCTTTTATGGTTTACTTGGGAGGTTGAGTCGAGCTAGCGACATTAAATTTAGCGCTTCATGGGAGGCACCCCATGTTATCTTTCATTTTATTGCACTTTACTTTCTTCTTTATTTTTCTTAACACTTTTATTTTTGATATATCATGCTTCCACTTGTGCTTTCATGTATATATGCTCTTGATTCTAGGAATGACACTAAGGAGTATGCTCAATTCCAAGAAGGTTTCACGGTGATTCTTTGACACAAGAAGATTCATTAAGGGAGTCTCATCTACCTTCTCTACTTTCTTTAATTGTGTATAGTGCTTTACTCGGTGTAGATAGTAGAGATTGAGCTCCTTGTACTTATTGTGATATCCTTCCCCCTTGTTCTTTGTTATCTTTCACATCGAGGACGATGTATCCTTTAAGTGTGGGGGAGGGGATAATTTGGGTTTTTTTTCTAAAAAAATTGAAAATTTTGAAACTTTGCTTGGATGACTCATTGTGCTTAGTGTTTGGTAAATTGCTTTTCCTTGCTTGAAGTTGTGATTACTCCCTCTTTGTTGGTTTGTGGTTTGTTTTGGTGGAACTTGTTGCAATTCAACTTGTGATTGATGAGCCAAGGGGTAATACATGATTGATCTATTATCTTGCCAATAGCCTTGTTAACCACTTAATAATTGAATCAATTCTTGATCTTGTGTGTTATGCATTGCTAGTGAAGGCTTATGTGAGATTCCGGTCATGGTTGTTTTGCTAGAACTTGTCTTATTACTCCTCGTGTGAAGTCTAAGATTTGCATGTTTAGAAATGATTTAGGCCATTTTTGTTTAGCCCGAGCCTTTCAAGCCTACCCTTTACACATGTCTTTACCACTAGTTGTCCCCGTTGAGCCTTTTGTGTTTGTTTAATAAGTGCTAAGCACTTGTCCCTTCATTGTGATTGTTTTTCCTTGTGTTAACCCTCATCATTTAACCCTTAACCCCGTGCCAAAATGTTTCCCTCCACCCTTGAGAGAATAGAGCATTTATTCTTTTTCTTTGAAGAGATCTTTATTGGAGCATGTTTTGTAAGAAATCCTCTTGATAATTTTGTCTAAGTGTGGGGGTCTTGATTCGTTGAATAAGTTTGTTGGTTGATTTGAAAAAAAAAATGAAAAAATGATGATGAGAAAATTGAGAAAAAAAAAAGTCATGAAAAAGAGATGAAAAGAGAAAAAATGAAAAGAAAATAAGAAGAATAAAAGCTTAAGTTTGATTCTAGTTTGTGTTGAAAGTTGTACTCAACCCCCACCTCTTTCGAGTATTGCTTTGTGTCAATTGTAAATTGCTCCTTTGTCCATAGAAGGTATATCTCTTCGAGCTCTAATTGTGAAAAAATGTGAAGTTCTCTCCTTTGTTTATTTTCCTTACCCCTTCTTTGTTAACCTTTCACCCTTAGCCCCATTACAAGCCAAATAAAAGTCCTACTTGATCTTAGCATGCAATCTTGGAGTTGAACTAGTGGGAGTATGAAGGGCAAGCCTATGGAATCTCATTCAAAGCCAAGTTTTGCATAATCTAAACTTAGCATTTGTGCACACTTGATCCTCACGTACTTTAATGGTTTTGGTGCTTGGTTATTGGCTTGAGAATGAAACTTGTGTGCCAAGCTAAGGTGATTCTTGAAACAAGTTGTTTTGTAGCAAGTTGGATTGTGGTTTGATTGGTTGTGCAAATTGGGAGTATGATCAATTTCTTTGCTAGGATAGTGATTTATTTCTTGTCTTTGCTTGAGGACAAGCAAAAGTTTAAGTGTGGGGGAGTTGATAAGTGCATTTTTGTCTATATTTTTTACCCCTTCTTGAACCCATTTTATTTGTGAATTGCTTAAAAACTTGTGTGAATTGTGACTAAGTTATGTTGGTTTTATTTCAAGGTGCAATCATTCACAACAAGTGAGAAATTCAATGATTTTTGGAAGATACGAGCAATTTTTGGATCAAGAGATCAATCAAAGAGTTTGGAATGCATTTAGGAATTTTCAGCAGCCTCGTACCCCCTCCCGTACGCCCATCCATCAGCCCATCCGAGATTTGAAAAACGAAGCAGGTGGCGTACGCCCATCCCACAGGGCGTACGATATTTCTGCCCAAAACCCAGTGTTCACTGGAAATGCACCAAAAATGGTACGCCCTGGCGTATGCCCATCCCTGAGGCCATCCCACTGTGCTCTGCTCTATTTATGCGCGTTTTTGGGTCATTTCAACTCGGTTTTGACCCATGGTTGAGCCCTAGCTTCTCTCTTTCACTCCCTTTCATATTGTAGTGTTAGATTAGGTTTAGATTTAGGTTTCTTAACATTTTTCAAGCTTGTAATCAAGGATTCAACACTTGGATTCCAAGATTTACTATCCATTTCTTAGTAAAGTTTTCTTCTCCCTTTTATCTCTTCATCTTGCAATGTTTATGCTTTACATTTATGTTTTTTGTGTTCTTTATGCTATTGAATCATGATTAGTTAGTTTATGGACTTGAGTTAGGGTTGTATTATCTTTCTTGATGCTTGATTTGTAATTATTGCAAAAAGGGGAAGAACACTAACCTAGGGTTCTTGAGTTTATGAAGGTTTTGTGTTTGTATTTTGTTAATGCTTGGTGTAAAACATTCATTAACATGTTTGGGAGGATTCTTGGCCTCAATGAGAGTTGGGTAAAGATTCCAAGCCACTCCTTGCATAAACCCAATCTCTTCCTATGAAAATAGGGGAAATTGGGGGTTATTGGTGCTTTGTGTGCTTGAAGAACTTGGAGTTGATTCACCACGAGAGTGGGACAATTCCTTGTTCTAATCCTTGTTAATTTGCTCACGTGAGTGACTTATAGACTAGGGTTCCTACGTGCATCCCCTCTATTTCTCGGTAGTGTGATTTTCCCCAATCTTTAGGGTGTGCTATGCATCTAGAAGATAATGTTCCCTAGCTTGAGTCCCATTTTATTATTCCGTGTTTATATCTTATTAATATGTGTTTGGTTACTTTGTTTAGTTACCGTAACCTTGAAACTTGTTGTTATTTGCTTAGCTTCTTGTTGATTTCCTTATGTTAGTGCCTAGTTGCTTGTGATTGCGTATTGCGTGCCATAAATCCCAATCCCCTGAGGACGACATAAAACACCCGAGCTCACATCTTATTTTTGCTACATCAACATACAAGAGAGAATGAAGGCTGCCCAGGATCGACAGAAGTCCTACGCCGATCTAGGGAGGAAGTAAGCCGAATTCTCTACAGGAGAGAAAGTTTGGCTTAAAATATCACCAACTCGAGGAGTGATGAGGTTCGGAAAGAATGGAAAGCTAAGCCCTAGATTCATTGGTCCCTACGAAATCCTGGAAAATGTCGGGAACCTAGCTTACCGCCTCACATTGCCAGCCGAACTAGAACGAATACATAACATATTCCACATGTCACAACTAAAGATATATATATACACTACGCAGCCCACGTACTACAACTCGAAGTCGTGTGTTTGGATGACGCATGTCCTACGAGGAAAACCCTGTAAAAATCCTGGACACGAAGATAAAAGCAACTCGTCGGAAGACCATAGAGATGGTTAAGGTCCTCTGGTCCAATCACGGGACCGATGAAGCGACATGGGAGCTCGAAAGCGCCATGTGAGAACGCTATCCCGAACTATTCGCACAAGGTAACTTAGACTGAACCTTAGGCTAAGAAAGGATGTTCGACCCCATCACGTCTAAGCTTCGGGGACAAAGCTTTCTGTTACGGGGAGGGTATGACACCCCGTGTTACGACCTTCAAGTCCGAATTAATTATTAAATTAATTCTGCTAATTAAAATAATTAAAAAGTGATTTAATCTAATTATAATTCCCTTAATTAACCCAGGTGGTCCATGATGAATCGTGAACCTTTACCTGAACCAGGAACCTTAAGCTCACAGGGAATAAGGTAAGCGAGCCTTATTATTCAGACCTTGAATAGGTTTCCCCTAAACATATAAATAGGAGATTAGGAAACAGATGGAACCCTTCCTCTCCATTCCCTCACTCGAAATTACTCGCAGGAACTCCAACCGAGGAAATCCCCCACCAACAAGCCTAGGAAGATCAATTGGAAGGAGAATCTTAGGGAAGAACCTTAGTAGCCAGGGATATTGGTTAGGGCTAAGAGGTAACCCATGTCTTACAAAACCCATTTTCCTTGCTATATCTTATTCATTCGATCCTTTGATATATGATTCTGTGTTTGAGTCTTGATAGAGCTTTGCCTAGGGTTTATATTGTGTTTTTGTGATAATCATGATGCTCTTGACATTGTAATTGATTATGTGAATGATCTTGTATTTTCATTATGTCTAGAGCCTTAGCGTTTACATTGTGAATTTCGTATTATGATGATCTTGGTATATTTGGGTGGGATTATGCATGATCAGGTGTTGAGTCTAGCCTAGGACTTGTGTTTAGGACCTTGCATATAGATTTCTTGATATTCCTATGGTTCCGGATTCTCCTGAACCCTTATATGATTAATGTGGAGTCTTGTATGTTTAGAAGTCGTGTTAGAACATATTTGGTATGATTCTTCATTTAATCCCGTTAATTGAATACGTGGTGTTGTCATTATGTGTTTGAATGTGTTTAGACATGGTTTCGGGTTCAACGAGAGATCCCGGGACCGAAAGTTGCCTGAGAGTTAGTGGGGGGCAGGTGGGGTAGGGGTGCCCGCCACCTACCCACTGCCCGTGGTTACTATTCCAGCCGGCGGGCAGGCAACTGCTCGCCGGGCACCCGCTTGAATAGTATGTCGCCGCCGGCGGGTGGTCCTCCACCCGCTGGAAACCCGATGTGGTTCGTGGTGCCTTTCCCCATTTGATGTTTCCTCGTGTCCCGTTGTGTCCCGTTGTACCCCGTTTATCGTGTATGAGTCTCATTTGGTGTTTTGGGTATCGTCCTAGGAACTTATGTGTAATATGTATCGTTGTTGTTGTGTCTTAATTGCTATCTGCTTATATGTTGATTGATTGAATGGTGATGAGTATCGTGGTCATTGCGCAATGGCAAGTGTGACTAATGATGATGAGATTGTGATTGGTGGAAATGAATTTTTTGAGATTGGCACCACTTGCGCCCGGTCATTGTACTAAAGGTACATGCCATAGCGGTGGCTGTGCTGAAGGCACACACCCACCTTCGACTAGCTTGCCGTTGAGCATGGGTCAGGTTATAAGTGCTGTGGTGTCATGTTAGGGCTATATGCGCTAACCCCTTGATATTGGCACTAGAGGTGCGGATCATGTGAATGGCACTGCAGCACCATCTTGATATGTTGGTGGTTGATAGGTCGTTTGTCGTTGGGGGCATGTAGTTGCCCTGAGGAATAAGGGGTGGTGATATAAGGGTGGCCTGGAGGTATAGGTTGGAACTGATATAAGGACGGATGGGAGCTACAAGATTGGAACTTGCTATAAGGTTGGAGGATGAATTGTGTGCTTTGATGACTGCTTGCTAATTGATTGTCTTGAATGCCTTCGATGCCTCTAATTGTTATTCATATGCTTATATGTCTGTTATGTCTTGTATTGCGTTCTTAGGAAGCATGTTAGTCCTTATGATTATTTTAAACTGTTGAGTCTGTTATTATGTCTTGAGTCTGGATCTTGGATTTAAATTAGCGTCTCGTAAGTATATATGTATTCCAGTTTCAAAATGAGTTTTTTATATCTACCTATATTGTACTTAACTCGTTTGAGTGGGTTACCAGCATTATTCGCTGACGATTGTTACACCGAATGTTTTTCAGGAACAGTTGAGTAGCTTCGGAGCACGCTAGTGGACTCGTGGACTTAGTTAGATAGCCCTAACATTAATGAGATGGCCGGCGTGCCTTGATTTACATATTAGTACTGATTACGCCTTGTTAGTTAGTTTAGCCTGTGCATCTAAGTTCTCTAGCTCAGGTGTGGCATAGCTCCCTGACTATCATGCTTAGTTTATGCTCTGTTTGGGGAATTAATAATAGATTCGCCTATATTTTATAAGTTTTAAATATCTCAAAATTTGGGGTGTTACACTCGACCTTCTGAAGTAGTCCTCGGGGGCTCGTAGGCAGCCAGCCTCACCCCTCGAAGGATGTGGCAACTCTAGAGCCCGTCCATGCCACGCGGACGGACAACTGTACTCAGAAAATAAACAGGCCGAAAGGAAAAGAAAGCAGTCGATAAACAAAAATCCCGCCGGGCAAGTTTTGCATTCAAAAGTCCTAAAGGCCATATCACATTCGAAAAAGAAGCGAAAAGAGAGAGAAAATTGACGATTAGTCAACTCTAAAGTTCACCCCTGCCCAGCTGGAGCGTTCTCTTGGCAGGCTCGAACTTTGGTTTGGGGATGTTGCGGAGACATGTAGGCACTCTCCTTATTGTAATAAGGAGCACGACACAGTCCTGTTCAAGCTTAAATTTGCTCCGAAGATATACCGAAAGGTTTTTGGAAATCGAAATCCTTCACGGACATGTACTATATCTGCGAAGAAGATGTCAACTTCTTGGATGTTTACCATCCCTTCGATGGGTAGTTACAGGCGAGAAAAATTTTCTTTCTTTTGAATCTGCACTTGCTCCACTAGTGAAGCGCCCATCAGATTTTACACCAGCATAAGGGATCCTTTCTCTCTGCTTAACTCCCCTGTACGTACTTAAAAGACCAGCCTGGCTGTCGTTGATCCTTATGGTGGGTTGCATTCTCGACGCGGCAGTGGCTGTACCAAACCCGAGGAGACTTGGCCTACTTTTGTAATCTGGGAAAGCTATTGGAATAAGGACAGGGAATCCTCCACCCTAAGGCGATGACAGTAGGTGAGGAAGGTGGCCGGCGAGCAGCAAGCATTGGGCGCCAGCCAACTGGCCATTACCCCGTAGTGTTGGAGAAGAGAAGGTGGAAGGACGGGATAAAGTTGAGAAGCATGAGGAGGAAAATGTAAGGAGGAAAAAAGGTATTTATAAGGTTAAACGGGCAATGAGATTGTGACGCGTGTCTTAGATCGGACGGACGGGGGGCGCTGATGTTACATTTGAGATGATGGTTATGAAGAGACACGTTTTGAAGACGTAATCGGCGGAATTAGTGGAAAAGTCATGATTAAGCCTACCGCGACCGTACTGCTCCGCAGAACCAGTCAGGAACAACGAGACCAGTTGGGAGAAGCGGAATTAGCCAGGAACCTGCTCGGGTTGCGGACGAATCAGGGCAAATCAAGATGGCAGGCGGCCAGGGTGCGTGGGGAACTTGTGTTCTTTTCTCTTTCTTTACTTTTTTAGGTTAATGTTCAGCTAAAGCCTAAAAAAGTGAAGGATTGGTGATAGATATCCCAAATCAGCCCCCTGGATGGGAGGTCAGACAAGGCAGCCAGACCAAGAGATGACTCATTACTTAACAAGGGGAGGATCGCCAGGGACCCCTCAGCCACGATGAGAGGCGCCTCACAATGGCCGGCAAGCACTCCTAAAGCGGCCAGCCCGCTAGCCGGCGCGTCCCCGGGCTGGCTCTTGGATGTATTACGGTTGGACGACCAGTCACGGCGGTCGGCGTGTCCCCGATTGAATACCCATGGGGTTCGGGCGGGCGACTAGGCCACACGGGCGGTGCGTCCCTGATCATATGCTTTTTCTGGACCCGGTTGGGCGACCAAGCTCTACAGACGGGATGTCATTATATGAAAACAAGGACTTAGGAGGGCGCCCCGCGTAGCCGAGACCATTCCTGACCGGGCACACACCCAGAAACGCATTCAGCGGATTCTACAGAAGCGATCTTCGCTCATTAGGCAGCTTCCTTAATTAGTTCATACGGAAAAGGCAGTAATTTGACAGCACGTTAGCCCTTAAGTCAGCCCTATTCCCCCTTAAGCTTGGTTGCACGCCAGCCCTACTTACCATCTATGAAACCTACATTCTTTGCTCTTGGAAATCATACCCCTCCATAATTCAAAGTTCTTGATTTAGTGGTGAAAACTCTTCCTTTTCAATTAAGAGTGAATGCACAAAGAAAAGATCCTTCAACCAAATCTCAATCAAGGTAAGACAATAAGCTCTTGAACAACAAAAACAAACAAAAAGAAAGAAAAAGCTTAGTCTCCTAAGATTCCCTAAACTCTAATGCTAGTAAAACAAGCAATCACATAAAACCACCAAATTGCCAATCCCCGGCAACGGCGCCAATTTTTGATGTAGCAAAAATAAGATGTGAGCTCAGGTGTGAAATATCATCCTAAGGGGATTGGGGGATATGTCACGCAATATGCAATCACAATAAACTAGGCACTAGCATAAGGAAATCAACAAGAAGCTAAGCAAACTACAAGTTTAAGGAAATGATAAGACTAACACATATACACAAAGATAAACACAAAATAAAGAAATAAGACTCAAGTTAGGGAGCATTATCATCTAGATGCTTTAACAACCTAAGGGATTAGGGAGAACAAGTACCCAAGGAAACAAGTGGAATACACGTAGGTATCCTAGTCTACGAACCATTCTCGTGATTAATAAACAAGGATTAGAACAAAGAATTGCCCCACTTTCGTGGTGAATCAATTCCAAGTCCATCAAGCACACAAAGCATCTAAAGCCCCCAATTTCCCTTATTTTCGTAGGAAGAAATCGGGTCTATGCAAGGGGTGGCTTGGATTCATCACCCAACTCTCGTTGAGGCAAGGAATCCTCCAAAAACAAGCTAATGAATGTGTACATCAAACATTAACAAGATATAAATACAAAACTTTCACAAACACATGAACCCTAGGTTGGAGTTCTTCCCCTTTTTTACAATAATCACAAATCAAGCATCAAGATAGATAATACAACCCTAACTCAAGTCCATAAACTAACTACTCATGATTCAATAGCATAAAGAATACAAAAACATAAATGTAAAGCATAAACATTGCAAGATAAAGAGATAAAAGGGAGAAGAAAACTTCACTAAGAAATGGATGGTAAATCTTGGAATCCAAGTGTTGAATCCTTGATTACAAGCTTGAAAAATGTTAAGAAACCTAAATCTAAACCTAATCTAACACTACAATATGAAAGGAAGTGAAAGAGAGAAGCTAGGGCTCAACCATGGGTCAAAACCGAGTTGAAATGACACAAAAACGCGCCTAAATAGAGCAGAGCACAGTGGGACGCCCTCAGGGATGGGCGTATGCCAGGGGGTACGATTTTTGGTGCATTTCCAGTGAAAACTGGATCAGGGAGAAGAGATGCGTACGGGCGTACGGCAGGGCGTACGCCACCTGCTTCTTTTTTCAGATCTTGGATGGGCTGATGGATGGGCGTAAGGGAGGCAGTACGGTACTCCTGAAATTCCTAAATGCATTCCAAACTCTTTGATTGATCTCTTAGTCCAAGAATTGTTAGGATCTTTCTAAAAATCATTGAAATTTCTCACTTGTTGTGAATGATTGCACCTTGAAATAAAACCAACATAACTTAGTCACAATTCACACAAGTTTTTAAGCAATTTACAAATAAAATGGGTTAAAGAAGGGGTAAAAATATATACAAAAATGCACTTATCAGGGTCAAACCCTAGAGAAATAGTATCGCATTATTCTCTCTCTATTGCTTTATCTTTATTTTCATAATCTCGCATAAACATTCTTATTCCCTTATCCAGTAGTGTTGGCCTGCCGAGCAACCATCGAAGTTGTGAAAACCAACACCTTTAATCCTAATTATATTGCGCATACAGTGAAGAGTATGTCGGGCGTACATACATGGAAGATATGATTTGAAAACAAAAACAAAAAAAAAAAAAAATAAACTACCCACAATTAGGGTTAGAAGTCAAAAAATAATAATAATAATAATAATATTTCAGCATGTTAACCAATTTTTAAGAGTAAAGTTTATTCTTTTTGTTTGAGTATTTCAGAAGAAGAGCTGGAATACATGTTTAGTTAAGAAACAAGTCGTCAGGAGTTTAATTTTTGAATATCAATGTCATTGACAATTGATAATTAATCGGATTCAAAGCTCCTTTAAAATATCCCTGCAATGAATATATTTCAATTGTATAATGTTTAAATTGTTTTTGTAATGGTGATTTACAATCGTGTAAATGAAAAGCAAAGGTTTCATGTTTGGTTCTTATTAATATATACATTGAATAAAGGATTTGACTCATTAATAAAAGATCTGACATGTCTCACAGATTGAGACCCGTAAGACGGTTTCACAGATTTGTTGCCTATATGCAGTTGCATATTTGCATATATATATATATATATTTAAAAAGAAGTAATATTGAATAAATTACATTTTCTTTTTGATACTTTTATAGAAAAATGCAGGATTACCCAATTATATGAGATAAACAATTTAACAAGTTGTTTGCATATATATTATATATGGAGAAAATATCTTTTTTCTTATTTTTTTTTAAATAAAAAGACTTAATTTATTAGATTAGAAGCAAGAAAATATCATTTTTAGTCACTCGACTATAATACATATATAAATTTTAGTCCTTGACTATTAAAATTTACAAATTAGGTGTAGGACTATTCAATTTGTATCACATTTGGTTCTTGACAATTAACATTTTTAAATTAGGTGCATGACTATTTAATTTGTATCACATTTCGTCATTGACAATTATCATTCTCAAATTAGGTACATGACTATTCAATTTGTATCACATAGTCCTTAACTATTAAGTTCAGTATTATAATATAAAATTTATATATATTTAAAAATTACATTAAAAATAATATAAAACGCCAAAGGCCAAATTTAAAAATAATTAAAATTACTAAAGAGAATAAGCAATGAAGAAAGAATTGATTTGACCAATAAAATAGCAAATTGGACATGCAAAATGAGTCAGATGGAGTATAATATAATATAATAAATTGTTATTTATTACTATAAAAATCATTTTCAAATTGTCCACCGAATTGCATATTGTAATGCAATTGTTATGTCTCACTGAACCTTAAAAAAATACAATTGAATTCTTAAATTAACCAATTTCGTGTAATTCGTCTAATTTTTGATAAAACCCTTTACTACCAGGTTACGAATCGCCACATAATTTTTTTTTAAATACTAAATTTTATATATATTTTAATAATGATAAAATTATAATTTATACTTGTAACACCCCGTGTTACGATCCCTAAAGCCAATTAATTAATTAACAATTTACCCAAAAAGAAAGAAATAAATCACAATAATTAATTAGCATTGAGCCCACCATGGTCCATGGGCCCCCCATCTCTAAGCCCAATCCCCAATCCTAGAAGAATTAGACCCCATAGTATATAAATAGGGAACTTAGAAGGCATCTAGAATCCCCACCACAATAATCTCTCACCACCCAAAGAGTTCCAAGAATTCCCTTAGGAGAAATCAAGAAATCAAGAAAGCTTAAAGAAAGACCCTTTATAGCCAAGGAATTAATTAAGGCTAAGAGGTAACCCATGTCTCAACAAAACCTATTTTCATAGTTATGATTCCCCCTTAGGGTTTCCCCATATTATTGCGTATTGATGAATTGTGGTGTTATTATTGATGATTGATGTGATGATCTCATGGGGGATATTGATAATCTTGATATTGGGAGATTCTTGATAATTATGGTGTTCTTGATGATTATATGGAGTTCTTGATAATTATATGATGTTCTTGATAGTTGTGTGATGTTCTTGATGCTTATATGTTATTCTTACCGAATCTTGTAATTAGAAGACGAACCGTATTCTTGTTGATGTAAAAGTAATTAGAACCCTAGGTTGATGTTCTTGTTGACGTTCTTGATAATTGTGTAATGTTCTTGATTCCTATATGTTATTCTTACCGAATCTTGTAATTAGAAGACGAATCGTATTCTTGTTGGTATAAAAGTGATTAGAACCCTAGGTTGTATCGTATGATATTATTCTTGGTGTATCGGGTGGGGAAATCGCATGTTTGGGTGTTGATTATGTTTAGGAAAGCATGATAGGCTATGTGTCGTACGTTTCTCGTATTTGACCCATTAATTGTCTACGGGTTGTTATCAATTACGTTTAAAAATGTCTAAGCATGGTTTCGGGTTCCACAAAGGTTCCCGGGGCATTTTTGTGATGAAAGAGTCAGTGGGGGGTAGGGGACCCGCCAACTACCCACGGCCGAAACAACACTTCCGGCAGCGGGCAGCTGCCCGCCGGCGACCCGCTGCCCGGAATAGTAAAACCGGCGGGCAGCCGGCGGGTGGCCCCCCACCCACCGGCTACCCGCTGGAAAATTCCCCACTTCGGGATCCCGGCTTCCCCGTTTGATGTTCCCCCGACCCCCGTGGTGTCCCAACGGACTCCGTTTATCGTGCCTATGTATAGTTTGATGTTTAGGGTACCGTTCGTAGGTTTATGAGTCTATTATATTGCATGCTAGTTGAATTGGTATCCCGTTGACCTAGGTGGAAGAAGTATGAACCCCTTAGGACTATTCTTAGTATGTGAAGGATCACGCATAGGTTTTGTTATACGTTTTCTCCCCCTTCCCAATGTGTAATGTGGGTTGCATGTACTTGCTATGTGTTATGTGTGTGTGTTACCCCAATTCGGTTGCGATCGGATTGGTTATTCCTGAGCTGCGGTTCAGAAGCTGGCTGCGGTCAGATTGATACTCTTGGGCTGCGGTCCACCGTTTGGTTGCGATCAAACGTTTCTACATGAGCTGCGGTTCATATTTCCTGGCTGCGGTCAGATGACATTCTCTTGGGCTGCGGTCCACTGTTTGGTTGCGATCAAACTATGATGAGCCGCGATTCATCGGTCGGTTGCGATCGACCCCTCCGTGTTGCGATACGGGGCAGGGTGCTGCGGGGCCGTGTCAGAGCTATATGCGCTGACCCTCATGTATGGGTATGCGATTGGTCCTGTGTGATGAGATATGGATGAGTTGTGGTTATGAGTATCTTGGGGTTGTGACTACGGGATTTATGTTGGGGATTGCTATGTTGCGTTGTGATTATTAATTGTGCTTAGCTTATCTGCCTGGCCTATTGTGAACTGAATATGCTTGTTATGACTGTTGCTTGTGTCTGGCCTTATCTGTCGAGTCATTCCCGGTTTTAAAAGCTAGAGTTCGTAGGATATATCTTCATGCTCAAAATGGTTTTCGTATATCTATATATATCTCTATATGATGTATTGTATTTCAACGCGTTGGAGTGGGTTACCAGCACCTCTCGCTGAACAGATATATTTGGCTTTCAGGCACAGAGGATTAGAGCACTGGAGCGCGCTAGAACTGGAGCGTAGAAGTAGAGTAGTTCCCTTTCGGCCTGCGTGCCATGTTATGTATTTATATTTCTGAGGATATTAGCTAGTTAGCCTGTGCACCTGGGTTCTCTAGCCCAGGTGTGGCATAGCACCCCGTACGCATGTGTTATACTTTGGGATTTAATGAGATGTTATCTTTATTACATAAGTTTTAAATGTCTTGAAAATCTGGGGTGTTACAGTTGGTATCAGAGCCTAAGTTTGACCCTAGGATAAGACCGTTAAGACCAGACCTTAAGACGATAGGCTTGAACTCTAGGGACTTAGGGACGTAGGACTTAGGAATCTTAGGACGCGCGGTGAGATTGTGAAACCTACACATAACCTCCCCTCACTTTATCCCTCTTTAACATTAAGAAACTCCCCTTCGCTTATTGCATCATGGTGAAAACACAAAGTAATATCGACCTTTAACCACCAGGATGGCACCCAAGAGAAAGCAGACAGGAACCCGAAACGCCCCACTCAGGAATTCCTGACTCAGAATTTACAACGCCTGGCCCAAATTGCCCAGGCACTAAGTACTGCCACCCCCCAACCTTTACCAACGAACGAGAACTTGGAAATCCACCACCAGGTCTCGGCACACCAACCACCCACCTTCTCGGGGGGCGAAGACCCCACGACCCTCGAAGAGTGGATCGGGACCTTCGACGAGGTATTCAGGGCAACCAAATGCCCCGAACATCACCAAGTCAGGATAGCCTCCTTCTACTTCAGACATGAGGCCGACATCTGGTGGGCCCGTTAGGGACCCACGTGCGAACAGAGTCCCGGATTCAACTGGGAATGCCTAAAAACACGGCTACGAGAACAATTCTACCCCAACCACCTGAAAGCCGCCACATACGAAGAATTCCTCCACCTAAGACAAGGGGCAGCCCCAGTCTCGGAATACAACCAACAATTCTGTCAACTGGCTCGCCTCACCCCCG